TTAAGTAAAAAATTTTAGCTATTCAATGTATTAAAGTGGTATAAAAATTAATTCACACCTCAATGCTAGCAGAAATGTAATATCCCGTTGGACTCTTGGTTGGATGAAGGGCATGTCGATATCAAGCCCAAGACTGTAAAAGCAAAGAACATCCACCCATTTTCTTTGACGATGGATAGATTGCCTTAGACATTTCTCTGTACAATTGTGTCAAACAAGCAGAACCCCAACTATATCATCCTACACGTTCCAAGTCAGCCAACAGTGGTAAATACATTAAGTGAAGTCTATTACTTGACTTGTCTGGCATAATGACACCACCGATCAATCCTAAGATATATGCCCTACAATGTTGGTGCAATTGTTATTTAGTGGGTTCATCTGGTAGTGCAATTGTATGGTCTCTTAACCATTTTAGTTTTATGCTTGAGCCAACTAGAGCTTGCCCTTTTAGAGGTACGAAGCCTAACAACTTGTAAAACAATTCATCCTAGTCAAAGAAAGTTGGTCATGTGACTGGTTTGCCGTCGATCCTTAAACCCAATTATAGTGCCACATCTTCCAAGTGCACTCACCAACTGGGAGGTGAAAAGTATGTGTCTTAGGTCTCCACCTCTCCACCAAAGACGTTATCAAGCAATCATCAATTTTAAAATGTCTTATTTTTGCAACCTCGCCAAAGCTAGAAACCTCCAACAAATGCTCAATTCTTGGGTCAGGTGTAGGCATGGAATGATAGTAAGATTGAATCACTTGATCACTTGTTGTCTACGAAAATGATTGAATTGAAATGTTAGTAATGAATAATATTAGTTGTAAACATTATGCAATATATATTAACTTACCATAAGATGAGTTTCATTTGACCTATGGAGGTGTTTTTTCCACAACATAGTTGAAGATGAAGAAGACATTCTTGAAAAACAATAGCAACGAAATTGAAGAGTGCAATAGCTAAAGAGAATTGATCTTTTGTTGTGTGTTTAGGGTTGGAACGTATGTAGTGTATATATAGTGCAAAAAATTTGAATTAGTTTGTCTCATTGCGTAAGGAATCCAATGACTTTGTGCTGAGTGTCATCAATTGCTTTGTGCCAGAGCGTCAAGAATCCAATGACTTTGTGCAGTGTCATCAATTACTTTGTCCCAGAGCGTCAGAAAAATCAATGCTTTGTGCAGAGTTTCATTACCTTGGTCCCAGAGCGTCAGAAAAATTAATGACTTTGTGTAGAGTGTCATTGCCTTAGTCCTTGAGCGTCAAAAAAATCAATGCTTTGTGCAGTTTCATCAATTGCTTTGTTCTAGAGTGTCAGGAATCCAATGATTTGTGCAGTTTCATCAATTTCTTTGTCCCAAAGCATTAGAAAAATCAATGCTTTGTGTAGAGTGTCATTGCCTTGGTCCCAATGATGGCAAAGGTAGGATAAGTGAAAGTAGAACCACTCCTTGACTTCACCAAGTGTAGGATCCTCTTCTTGGAGACTTGAACCGAATGGATTGAGCATGCTTGAATGAAGAACACGAAGAAGGAAAGCCTAGGGTAGAGATGGAAGTATCCTAGCTTGAAGGCTCAAAGGATTGCTCACTTCAAAAGGTAGGAACTAAGGTAATTTTCCTAGGGTTTGAAGGCAATAACTCTCGGTGACTTTTGAGGAAATTTGGTTGAAGAATGCTTCACAAATTTCATATATTCAAAAGCCATTACAAGATGTTGTAAAGGAGGCATTTATAGTTCCGAAATTAGGGTTACTTGGCGCCAATGTGGAGGATTCACATGTGGCGCCAAGATTTGAATTCAAATTTGAATTTTGAATTCAAATCTTAACCCACATGTGCTTCACCGGTCTCCATGTGCTAAGTCTACATCTAAGTTTGATTTAAGTTGCATTTAGGGTTGAATTTGAGTCACAAATGTTCAGGCAAGGTGGCGCCAACCATGTGACTCAAAATGCAACTTAAATGCAAGTTAAATTAAACCTATTTTTGCCTAATTCTTTTAATTAAGAATCCCTCCTTAAATCCTAAACTAATGACCTGAATACAATGGTCAATGAAATATAATGAATAGGAAAAATTACAAGGAAGAAAATGAGCCCAATATTGGGTATCAAAAGCTCAAAAGCCCATGAAGCCCAATTACAAGCCCAAAGTTCACAAACCCTAATCTATGGTGAAAATACAAGACCAAAACAAAGTAAATCCCTATTCTATGAATATGAAATAAAACATGGTGTCAAACAAGTAAAGCCCAAGTGAGGAGCACCCTAGGCCCACCAAGTCCATTGGGTCCACTAAGCTCTGAAGCAGTCAAGTCTTCAAGTAATCTCCTGGCCATAGCTCTAGTGGTTGGACCCTTGGTCCATGCTCTTCCATCACCCAGACCATCAACAAAATTAATGACTTTGTGCAGAGTATCATTGCCTTGGTCCTTGAGCTTCAAAAAAATCAATGCTTTGTGTAGTGTCATCAATTGCTTTGTCCCAAAGCGTCAAGAATCCAATGCTTTGTCCAGTGTCATCAATTGCTTTATCCCAGAGGGTCAAAAAAATCAATGCTTTGTGTAGAGCGTCAGGAATCCAATGACTTTGCGTTTGTCCACATTAGGTTGCTTTAGTTCTATATAAAACCTAAACACTGGCTAAAATGCAAGAGATTGAAACATCCAATCAATGGAGTTATTAACTAATCCATCCACTGTTTATTATGATTGACAATTGTCTCCATTGAGCATAGAGATACATTTGTTAGCAACAAGGTTACAACTCTACTGGTAAGTAACATGATGACTTATCAGCAACTTAAGCATGTTATTAATAGTAACCTTAATCTTCCTCATTACAAAGTTGTCATAGATATCCACTACCGATACCCAAATTCATGTATCGGTGGTGTATATAAATATACGTGTTGTCTTAGGGATGATGAAGATGTGGAATGTATGTTTTCATTGTTCACAGAACTGCATGACCTAACAAGTCTCGAATTGTATGCTACCATGACGTATATTATGTAACACCCCAATTTTTATTTCATTTTTTTTATTTTAATTGAGGGTATTTTGGTAATTTTATAAAGGTGATAGGGGTGATTTAGTAGCTTGGAATGGACTGTTCCCGAATTGGAAAGGCCCGTTCCAAACTACCAAAAGGTATATGATTTAGTAGCTTAGAACGGGCTGTTCCGGAATTAGAACGGGCCGTTCCAAACTACCAAATTGTATGTGAGTTAATAGCCCAGAACGGGCCGTTATCAAGATGGAACGGGCCGTTCCGGACTATTAAATATGCCATTAACCCTAAATGAGAACTGGCTTGGAACGGGGCGTTCCCAAAATTATGGCCATTGGGGGTAATTAATGCACACCAAAACGGGCCGTTCTAGTTTTGGAACGAGCCTTTCTGGATGTGATTTTTAGCCATGGTTTAAGGGTACGGAACAGGCCGTTCCAGATTTGGAACGAGCCGTTTCGGCGCAGAATGCCTATATATAGAGCTGTTTGCCAGAATTATTTCTGTTTGAAGAATTATTGGCATTATTTGATTATGTATATATCTAGGACAATAAATCTATGATTTGTTTGTAAAAATGATGGTCTAGGAGAGAGAACAAAATTATAGAAAAGTGCTTGTAGGTTAGGTTTTGGAAAAATTGGATTATTTCTGTTTGAGGAATTAATTATACCATTAGATTCTATATGTGTTGAGGATTAGAAATATATATTTAAATTGTAAGAATGATGATCTGGGAGAGAGAACGAAATTGTAGAAAAGTGCTTGTGAGCTAGGTTTTGGAACAATTGAGGGTTTTATTGTTTATGCTGAAATTATATTAAATTGCTAATTCTATTGATTATTATATTAATTTATGAATATCATTGTTATATTATTTGATAAAAATTGATGATTTAAATGTGAATTGCTTGATATGTATGAAACCCATTATTTTGGACTTATTTGATATGTGTATAGAATTGAACTATGAGATGTTGTGTGGAATGTGATTGAGATGTGGTTGTGGTTCTTCACACCTATGACCAGGGGTGAGCACGGCCCGAGATTGTTACATGAGTATCGTGACCTTGGTTAACATGTCAGGGGTGAGCACGACCCTAGGTTAGGGGTAACGTGACCTTGGCACAGTGTTATATCAAGGGTGAGCACAGCTCTGGATTGTTAGGTGGGTATCGTGACCTTGGTTAACATGTCAGGGGTGAGCACGACCCTAGGTTAGGGGTAACGTGACCTTGGCACAGTGTTATATCAGGGGTGAGCACGGCCTGAGATTGTTAAATGGGTAGTGTGACCTTGGCATAGTGTGAAGTGCAAATTAGTGTGATTGAGAATGATGACGTGATGACTATGCATGGTTGATTGAATTACTTTATGTTGAAATATTTATGAATATTAAGTTAATATGTTGTGTTTTCTTATGTGCTATATATATAGATGTTTTCTTTTCTCACCGTACGATTTGTGGATATTTTAGGTGAGAAAGATCTGGTTTCGAGTGGCATCTAGAATGCCAACAGTGGAAGTGTGGGTATGCTCTGATATTGTGACATCGGGGCAGAGGATTTTTAGGACATAGATTTTTATATGGTTTTGGAATTGTAATTATTATTTTTAAAACTCTTGCGCTTCATTTTTATTATTGTGGTTATTGAAGAATAATTTTGAAGATTCTCATGTGAACCCTTTTACCGAAATTGAAAAATTTATTTATTAGTTTTTATTATTACAATATATATGTTGGGGTAGTAAGGATGTCACATTTAGTGGTATCAGAGCAGGTCGATCCAATCGGTCTTGAGTTATGAGTCTACTATGTTTGTTTGGTAGATAATTGATGGAATGATTGATTATGGAATTTGTTGATATGTTAGTGTTGTGATTGATTAAGTTTGTTGTTTACTTATAGTATAATTGTTAACTTTTCTGGAGATCAGAAAAGTAATGGTAGGAGGTAGGAACGATCATGCAATTGCTTATGCTTTATAAGCGATGGCTCAGGCTCTTGGTAATTTGAACCAACAACCAGAGATAGATTGGTTGGAGAGATTCCAGCGAAATAATCCACCAAGCTTCCGTGGGGGTTATAATCCTGATGGAGCTGCTGATTGGATTTTTGAAGTGGAAAAGATATTCCAAGCTATGGGATGTCCTTTGATACAGAAGATGACTTTGGCTGCCTTCATGCTTTCTGGAGAGGCTGGCATCTGGTGGCAAGGTGCTCTGCAAAGAATGATAGCTGGAGGTACCCAAGTGAACTGGGAGAATTTCAAGCAGCTATTCTTGGAGAAATACTTTCCCCGAGATGTAAGACATAAGAAACATGTGGAATTCCTTGAATTGAAGCAAGGAGAAGATTCTGTGGCTAATTATGTGACTAAGTTTGAAGACTTGGTTAGATTCTGCCCTATGTATGATGGTGTGGGCAATGAGGAGGACAAATGTGTGAAGTTTGTGAGTGGTCTTCGCCCTGATATTAAATAAGTTTTCAATTATCAAGGGATCACTCACTATCATGAATTGGTAAACAAGTGCCGAGTATATGATGAGGACAACCGTGCTAGGGTAACTCATTATAAGAGTGGAGGACCCGTGAGGAATAATAAGTTTGGTTCACCTAATAAGAGTAAACCTTATACCAAGTCTGATGGGGACTCAAGTTCTAAGGTGAATAATCAAGGTTCTAT